AATCATTCATGTGTGAGCATCACTTTAATGTTGCAGCTGGTAAAAGTGGGGGTAGTTTGTGAATTTCACACCAAGGATCAATAAAATCGTATGCTAACCTATAATACATCATAATTTCTTTGTTGACAATATTTTGTATATTGTACATTGTAAATGTCGAAATTTAAATGTAGTGGAATAAAAAGTACAATATTTTCCTCAGAACCTTACATGCTTACTTTGTTATGTAACACTTACTACTTAACACGAGTACTTGAACTTGTTTGTTGAACTACCATGCAGTGGTGGGAAACGACTAAGTCTACTTACTCAAATAAATTTTTGATTTCTGATGAAGGATTTGCATACAAAATATATGATAACCTTATAAAATACAATGCATTGTTGAAAGGTAAAACAGTTTTTTTTTAGTGTGTGGCCCACTTACAAAAATGAAAGAAGCAGTATGGGTGGGGCCCTTGTTATGTTTCAGATCTCTGTGTCTTGTTAACAGTTCCACCAAAGAGAGATTTCCCCTTTAAACTTCTCAGATGATTTCATTTAAAAAACTGTTCAAGGCCCAAAGACTTCAAGACTTTTCTTCTTTCCTCTCCCATTAACTCTGTCACGACTGCTCAGATTTATCTTGGGGACCTTTGGAGGGGCTGATCACCCGGTTGGGAACCACAAGACTAAACCAGCTAACTGTATTTAAGTAGCCTAATTTAAACAACTCCACCTCGACCAGCTACAGGAAAATACAGAATAAAACATCAGTCTTAACAATCCAGCAAAGTGTGTATGATAACCTTTGTTACTTTATTTACATTTAATAATACTTCTGTACTTTACTCAAGTAGACTTTTACGTGTAAGTACTTTAACATTGTGGTGTTGGTACTTCTACTTAAGTAAAGGATCTGAGCACTGCTACCAAGCATGGCAAGCCAGCACAGACTGCATTAGTGTCTCGAGATGCTACTAACTGAGCTCCTGCCATTAAAGGGAAGATGCTGTGAGAGAGTTTGTACCAGGGTTAAATCACAGGAAGTAAGAAACAGAAGGGCGAGTAAATGACATTTCCTCTGCCTCCTACATCTCTGTAGCACAGTGTGTGGCCTGTTTCTGCACACATCCTATGCCTAAGAATAACCAGGTCAAAGAAAAATGACTTGGCTGGACTGCTGGTTTGGTCAACAAGGAGTTCAATCTTTAAAAAAAAACTCTGTGCAAACACTTTAGAGATGATGAAGCTTGGCAGACATGTTAATTGCATTTTCCTGTGTCTGCTTTCTTGTGGTTTAACAGAACATTTATGCAAATCACTTCAGTTGAAGAATGACACGGTCTTTCTTCAAGAAATCTATCTATCTATCTATCTATCTATCTATCTATCTATCTATCTATCTATCTATCTATCTATCTATCTATCTATCTATCTATCTATCTATCTATCACCACAATGTCCATTTTGTCCATTTGCTTTTCTGGAGCTTTTGATCACGTCACATGATCTTCACCAGCAGACAGAGTTTGTGAAGGCACACAAATTTGTGAGTAGTTCCTAAGGAACGAGGGAGGTACAAATCAGGAATAACCTGATAATGAAAATAAATGGTTACAGAACAAACTGAGAGAAACTAAATTAATGAATCATTAGGTATTGATTAGTTCATAAAATATCTGTGAATCGAAATACTGATCATTTATTTACAAGTTACTCTTTTTGTGCAAGTGATACATTGTACTGAGTAGCTGTTAATTAATCCGTTTTTCCTCATGAAATCTGTTCACCTGTTTGTGCCTCCCTCAAGTAAAGTGGGAGTTAAGAAGGATTATCAGGTTGTTTCTGTTTCGTTCTTCACTTGTTATTTAGTAACTACCATAGATATCCACATTTCCATTGTTTCTGAGCATTTAATGACTTCTTGTCCATATTGAAGCTCACGCTACTAAATGGACTTTGTGACGAGATTGATTATTCCGCTGATGTTTCCAAGTTGAGAAACTTTGAACTTCTGTTTTAAATAGGTGTTGAATCATCTTTATGGTCATTTTGGAGGCTGCTTTATTGTATTGAGTACTGAGAAGTGTTTCTAATATATTGTCCAATCCATATATATCAGAGGGTAGATTAAATATCACAAACGCCTGTTAACAGCACCACAAACTTCAGCCTTCACAATGACCAAAGCATAATATTCCATTTTAAACTGTTGTGAAAATGGTTTCCAAACCTACCTTAAAGCTGGACTTACTGTTACTAAATTAAAGTGGTGAGAATGTTTTGTTACTCCCCACTACTGTACATGAAACATTATTTATGTCTTATAGAACTGCACAGCTAAATGTCTGCAGGGTGTTTCCGCATCGACTACAAACCAGAACAGGATCCTCTGTTATCTGACACCCTCTTCGTCTCTTTCAGACAGACGAAGACTGGTCAAAGATGGATGGCCTCAGGCTCTCCCCCTGTGAACATGAAAATGCCTCTCTAGCAGAGCAGTCACAAGTCAGCAGGATGTTGATATTATTCTATCCCTGACAGGTCCATACAGGGCACCGTTCTCATCCACATACAATATTAAATGCTGACATGGAAACCAACTGCTGAAAAGCCCCAGAGTCATCACAGTTTCCCGTTTATGTCCCTGAGGTATGAGAGCAGTTAATAACTTTAAGGGCGTTATAGACTGGCCAAACTATGTGTCATGGAGGTAGAGGTACAGAGAACAAAAGCACCTTTATTAATATATAATGTAAGTCTCAACTTTCTTTGTTTATCTGGTAACCCCTTGATGCCTGAATGTATTTGCAAAAAAATTTCTGTTTTCATTTGCTTTCAGGTTGATGTTAAATTAAGTTGTTAATTTGTCTACAGAACATAGACAATATGTAAATTCAGGTATGATGTAGGTATGATGAAAATTAGCGACAACAGGCATAAACGAGAAACCAGTGCTTGCGAAAAGTTCCCAGGTATGTATCGAATATGCACAAACAGGCATTTGAGGAATACAAATGATATCTCAGCTGCAGTGGTCGCGCAGTGGCATGGTGGTACAGTGGTTAGTACTATCACCTCACAGCAAAAAGGTCGTGGTTCAAACCCTGGTTGCCCCGGCCTTTCGGTGTGGAGTTTGCCTGTTCAAACTTGTAACATAGCCAGTCTTTCATTCAAAACTTTCCATTGTGCATTCATTTGGATTGTAAACATATCTCACCACACAAGCTGGTAAGATTCAAAATGTAGGTTTCTTGTGAAAAGTCATGAGGACATCAACAATCACCAAAACACAAAATAAGGATATCTTTTCAGTTTAGCAGTTATAACAATCAGTGAATCCAATAACAAACAATGCAAGATACATGTTTCAAATCACCTTAGAAGTGCTGAAAATAGTATGCTACAGTACTGTAAAAGACAGATTGCACAGTTTTCACATTACACTTTCGTTACCCAACATTTACAGAATATGTCATTTCCACAATATCTATCCTATATGTAAGTCAAGTTATGATCAAGTTGTGATCATTGATGACATCCTCTACAATCATTTGTCAAATTTGTTTTTATTTCTCCAGATATATCACAAAATAGGTATACTCTCTAAAATCAAATGTACAGTTACAGTAAATTAAACAAATTGTTGTAAAGCCAGCTTCATCACCAAAATGTACTTGTGATGGTTCACATCAGCATCAAGAACCATCACCCTCTAAAAAATATATTCTGATTAGTTCTTTTTACAGTGTAGTTTTAATATACATAAGTAGGCGATGCATGAAATACAGTATATAGTGATGTACCTGAACATATTCAGCCCTCAGTTGTTTCACCCGGTCATAGTTTCTCTCAAAAGCCAGGTATATTTGTTTCCTTGATACCTGCTGCCTCTTCAAAAGGGCTACTTCCTCTTCCTTGCTGTCTATCCTGCTTCATACTGAAAGAAATTGCCAGTGTTTACACACCGCCTTTTATTGGGTGACCAATTGTGATTACCAGATGAAATCAATCAGCAATAATGAGTATTCATGTGTTGACATACATTTTATATAGATAGACAAATAGACAAACCAATTTCAAATCTACAGGTTTACTAAACAATTCAGTGATTAAGTGTTGGTCAAATGTATACATGCAAATCAGAAGAGAAGCCTATCAAAAGTATTGTGAGCATTGCATTGTGAAAGACAATTACTTCATATGAAAGGTATTTCTTTGATGACACAGTGATTAGGTGTGGTGAAAAAGTCTGTAATTTTGTGTGTTGTCCTTAGTCAATTAAACATGTGATTACATTACAGAGCCTTTTTGATGATCTGCTTTGAGGTTTGTACTAAGAGTTGTGAAATTTTATCACATCCTTGAAATAATAGTACCAAAGCGATCAAAAAACAAACAACCTATATATCAACTATGTATCAAATGACTATGTGTAATGCTCGTAGAGATGGACCCGGTTATCAACCGTCTCTCCAGTTTCCCTCCGCTCTATGCAGCTTTGTAGTTCTTTCAGATCACTGTTTTGGTTTTGTGCCCCTCAACTTTTGGTTGGGAAAAAGCATTAAAAACCCACTGTGCACTACCTGCTCAGCAGCAAACAGCAGACAGACAAAGCTAGCGACAAGCTGATGAACATAGTGGAGCATTTAGCAGCTAAACAGACAGATATTTCTCTCAAGAGTTGGCACAAACGTGATTCTACACAAATGCTAATTTTGCTCAGTGTCTGCTGGATGTGTAAATAAGCAGCTGTTTGCCATAAAGGTGATAATATGTCAGTGTTGGGTAAACAGCTTGTTGCGCTGGCCATAAAAATCATTTAATATAGGTATAACTGCAAGTCAAGTCATGTTCTGCATGATGGGGATTTCTCATTATTAAACACCTCTCTCTCTCTGCTGTCTACCACTATTTCACTTCTATGTCACAGTAATATACTAATAGTGTCAAATTCTGAGCAAAATGATTCATTTTTTCAGACTTTCCAAGTACAAAAGGTCCACTGAAGGCAAATGTTATTCAAATCATGTTTATTTTCGAAGCAACGGCAGGCGAACATCACTTTTACTTTAAAAGCGAGACACTATTTTAATGGGCCAAAATTAAGTACATTTAAAACAGATTTTTATTATGACAGTGATTTATATAAAGGTTTATGATTTCAATAAAAGTTGAGACAAAACATTTATTTTAGGATGTGGTCGACTTATTTTAGGAGGTGTTTTTTATGTAAACAACAACCCATAAAAACAAAGCTTGTGCATTCAGGGACAGAGTCCGCCTTTAAGTGCAAATGAGTAAACATTTCATTTCTACGATCAAAGGTAGCAATTTACTCTGCATGTCCACAACACACTTATGCACACAGGCGCACACTCTAATTATGCTCTCATACAGACACAGACACAGACACACACACACACACACACACACACACACACACCAAGCATCCTGTTCATTAATATCCCTGTAGACACAAATAAACAGATTTTCCTGAATAACAGCATGGAAAGAGAACAGACCACATTAACATCTGTAGAAAGGATAAAGTGTGGGCTCTTTGACAGTTGTGATCACATGCAGCATTTTTTTTTTTTTTCATATTTTATTATATTTAAGGTGTGAGAGAGCAGAAAACTTTTGGGACATAAAGCACAGAAATACAGCAAACATGCCCCTCAACTCAACTTCTCGTGTGTACAGTAAATGAAAGTTAAATCAATCCAAAATCAAATCTTAGTGCCTATAAAAACACAGAGCTGCCTGCCTCACATTGCTGAGTTTCAGTAGTCAGAGCATCAAGAGGGACACATAACACAGTTACTTATTTTAAAGTTATTTTCAGAAACAAGTGGGTCACTGTAAGCATCTGCCACAATGACACCTGCTAACACTGGAGGCTAAACTTAGGGTGAAGTGATACTGAGGGATCTCAGGGGCAGCAAGTCTAAAAGAAATCTCTGGCCGATCACCTCCCACAGAACTGCAGCGGCAAATTTTTTGACATATTTTCTTCTCCAAAGCCCCAGGCTCGAAGCTCCAGCCTGTCCTCCTCCTCCTCTCTATCATCTTCCTCTCCATCTGCCTCTTCACAGAGACTGGGCTCCTCCACAGAGGTCTCCATGTTTGGGTTGTAGCCACTGAATGCCTGTGCCTCTCTGTACTCATAAATTGTGGGCAGGCTACTGCGTAAACCAAAGCGGCGCCGTAGGGCCACAAGCAGCGGCTGCGGCACGGTGAAGATATCCATATTGTTGCCCAGGTCGATCCAGGCTAGGCTGGGGAACTTCTTAGGGTCCTTCACTGCATCTGTAAGATCTTTTAGGATGGCCATTGTCAGACGGTTGCCATTAATGGCTAGTATGGTCAGTTTCGGCAGGCAGCCGAGGTAGGGCAGCAGAAGCCGTAAACTCTCGTCCTGCAGCTCAGTGAAGCTCAGGTCCACAGCCGACACTGCGTCACTGCTGTTCTGGAGGTAGAATGCCACACGGTGGACGTCTCGGCCAGACAGCGGGATACCTGACAGGTTGACCACATCACCGGAGAGTTTCTTTTTCAGGGTGGTCTTCAGACTGTTTGAAAGAGAAGACAAAGCATGTATAAGCTCTATCAACTTTGATCACAAAATGGCCATTTGTTGCAAACAGTATTAAAGGTGTTCTAATTCTTCAGCACTGGCAGATAGTTTTCCAAATGTTAATGATACTGAGGTTATTGATTTAAAAGGCACTGTAATGGGGTGCCACATTGTCCCACAAGTGTAGGGGAACTGCTACATACACAAAAAAGAAACAGTATCTGCAAGAAGAGTATACAGAGTGCAGCAATCAATAATGTAAAGAAGAGAATTTGCATTTAAATGTGTCTCGGTCTGGGTCCCACAAGCAACAAATTCTGTCTCCCGGGCTGAATGTCATCCACTGAAAAGCACCAGCTGTTTAGTTTCGGGTGTCACTTCTTTCCCGTAAAGCCATCTCTAAGCCAGCTCCCTAAGTCTGTAAGTACAAAACAACCATCAAAGGCAATAAATAAATAAATGAATGATCGGAAAACACAGTAAACATGGCAAAAAAGAAAATGTTGCCCTTCTGTCTGGGCCAATTAGTAACAGATATGTCACCTTGTTTTGAGCTGGGGTTGTAGTTTCAACCCCGGGTGTCATTTTGAAAACTGGGATTCAGGAGAGAGATGTGTCTTTTTCTTTGGATTTTTAAAAATCAGGTCACATGTGTCTGAAGTACTGTGAGTGACACATGAATAAACCACTTGAGCTGATGAGCTCACTTGAAAAACATGAGAATTGACTAGTGCCATCACCTTCTCTAACCTTGCAGTTGGTCAGTATCAATTAAGATCTTTCAAAAAGTAGTAACGAGATGCATCTTTCTCTTAGGTTTCGTGAAAATCTGGTCAGTGAATGCAGAGACCGTGAAGAATTCATTTTTTTCCTTTTTTATTCCAAGCATTATTCTTCCTTGTCAAAATCTGGAGCCTACATTACTCACAATGCAACTTGGCTGTTCTGATTTCAGTGTATTATAGTGCGTTCCATTTGATATGAGAAGTCGTAATTTCTGGAACGCCCCGTTAAGTCGGATTTCTGACTGCTCCGTGTTTCAACAGTTAGTGAAAGCTGTAGTCTCATAGTTGTACACAAAGTACAAAGTCCAACTGCCACTGTCTGTGGACATGTTGCTACTGTTTTTAGTATGCGTGAATACCAAGTAATGCATTTTTATCACATTAATACGTTGGTAACAACTGACATAGCTAGTTGTAAACAATGGCTGGCCGATCAAGGTTTTCCAACTTGTTACTGGAACATGGTCAGCTCGGGCGTGACATCATTCCCAGCTCCAACTTCTGACTTCTGAGGTAAATGGAACGCACCACTATGCTACTAGCGGCTAATGTAGCCTAACTAGGCTCAAGCTTGTTAGTCATACAACTTTTTTTCACAGTAGTACTTGCTGAGACCTGCGAACAGATTTTGATGTACAAAATCGGTGATGGTGACCCTAAAATGTAAAGCTACCACCAGCAGCAGGCTAACTTAGCTTAGCATAAATACTGGATGCTAGGACAGACAGCTAACCTGGCTCTGTCTGCCCACCAGCACCCCCAAAGCTCACTAATCAACAAATTGAATCTAGGGACCAAAATCCTCCTGGATTCTCTGCTCGTTTTTCACTTTGTTTTTTAAATGGATTAAATAACATATAACATGTTAATGAGTGAACTTTAGAGGTGCTGATATAGACAGATTTAGTTATGGACAGTGCCAGACTAGCAGCCGGCTGCTGGTAGTGGTGCTTTATACTTGTTGTATTAGAGTAGTATCTACCTTCTCATGTAACGCTCAGCAAGGAAGCATAATAAGGGTATTTTCCTGAAATGTCTAACTTTTCCTTCAAGTTTTGTTAGAATTTGACAAATGACTTCTGAGATACAGTGTGGAACAGACAGGAGGATAAAAGGGTAGAGGATGGATGGATAAACACACCATAAAGGGGTGAGAAACAAGAGTGATAAAGGCAATTGATAATCTATTTCAGTCCAAATGCCTTCAGACAACAGGTGTGAGGTGAAAACATCTTCAAATCATCATCTCACATCATCAAAATAAAATACTACTATAAGTATCACACCTGTCAGGTTGGATCTTTGTCACTGCCTTGGATCTCACTGGGCAATCAACATGTTCTCGCTATACCTGAATGTGTTTAAATATACATGTGAGAGCTATAAGGGGATGCTGCATGCATGTCATTGTAGCATGGGAGAGTTAGAAGGAGTCTGCTGCAGTGCATTAGACTCATTTTGTTTTTACTGGCATTTAGACTAGGAAGAAGTCAGAGGGGAGACATCTGCCAAACAAATGATAATGAGGTGGAGGCGTGGGAGACTTTGTTTAAAAAATTTGACAAGCAGGAGAAAAATGTTCTGTTTAACTGGCCTTGGGTTTATCCTCTCTTTGTCTTAGTCCTGTTTGCCTTTGCTTGCCCCTCTGCCTCCTCAGGCACAGCAAGGATTATCCCTGCATCTCTCTGCTCTCTGGTCCGTCTGGGAGTCTTATAAATCGGCAGGCTGTACTTTATACATCTGTCACCCTTTCTGCACAGTTAAGGGAAAGAAAAAGATCTGTAGCACACCGGGGCTGTGATTCGCAAGATTATTGATTTCAGGAGAAGGCTATAATTCATCTGTCCTTCCTCCATTTCCTCACTCTTGCTCAGTGCCTCTCACTTTTTCTTTTTCTCGTATAATCTCACAGTTCTGAATTTGATCTGCTGAAGCACCTGTTTCCACCAGCTTACTGTATTTGTAAGTTTATTAAAAGCACTAAAGTTATTAGCACTAAAGTACAGCTGCGGCTGATGGGAATGTCATTAGTTTTGCGGGTATTTAGTAACAAAAAGTATTGGACAAATTAAAATGTTGATATGATGATGACGCTTAAACTTAAGGGATCACCAAAGTTAAACATTTCATCATCACCAACAGTAACCAGCAGTATGTTTGACCTTTGTTGCTTGACAAATTCCTTAAACGATTAATTGATTATTAAATCGATGGTTATTCATTTTCTGTGGACTTGACTAACCTATTCATTGACTAATCGTTTTAGCACTCAAACATTACTTACTTTGACTGTAGCTTAAAAAAATGCCAGGGAAGTCTGACTGCATCTGCAGCTTCTTGGCACACTCGACTCTCCTCTGACTTCAGGTTTACTGTACCACTGTGCAGCTTCTGCACTTTACAGTAATGAAACTGATTATGCACATCGACTTTTGTTCTCTTGGATTTATTTATAGGAGGATTTTCCTACTTCTGCTGGAGCCCTCTCCTACCAGCTGTGTGCCTATATTTGTGTTGCAAGACCTATTCCATGAGACATAGTCAGACAGGCTAGGTTCTGTAGTTGAGTGGGTTGTGCAGGGAAAAGGTGGACTCTAATGTGCTTTTAATGAGACAGAGTAAAGACAACTTCGTACTCCCTTCCAAATCTGCTGCCTCCTGGCTCCGTGGGCACAGTTCCACCCACAGGCTGCTCGGCTGGCCGCAGGCCCAGGGGCACAGCTAGCATTTCTAAAGCCACTGTGTACACTATAGTCCATCACCATGAAATGAAACAACAAAATGTCTCATCTCGATCCCTGTGATGTGGCTGCCATGCTCTTAGGCACGGGTGCATATCGTCTTGGACCAGCTCAGATACAAACAACTTCAAAAGATATACAACCCGCATGAACATGATGCAAAACATTAGCGTCCCCTGCATCAGGACTCATTTAAAAGCAAACATCTGAGGGAAATCCATTTATTGACATCCTCAGGAGCAACTGATACAGCAGTGCAGGAATCTAATAACAGCTGGCTCTCATGTGTCAAATTATTGGCTGCTTAAATGTGGGTTCAGGCTGTCTGTCTAATTGCTTTTCATAGCATGTCTCTCCTCAGGGATTTTGTTAACTTTGACGCACTGAACAAGGGTCCTTGCACTTCTATAGTTATGTAAACCCCGGAGGTAGGAAATAAAACATCTGGGATTTGCGACGTTGAAATGGAGTGCAGGCAAAGAGACCGAGCTTACAGAAAATTTCAGAACAAAACAGGAGAATGCATCTTTTCACAAATTGTTTTACGAACTGTGATTTGAGAGATATGGTACTGAAGAATCAGTGATTCAATACTTAAACTGCAGTGGAAAGAGTTCATACTGGATAACAAATCTACAGTGGCTTGATCTATCTCATATAGGCTGCCAGTGTTGATACAGAGATTTACTCCTCAGATGCCCAGCAATTACTGTAACTCTTTCTTTCCACAGCAAGAGCGACAATTTGTTTGTAAATATACAATTTACACCTCTAATGTCTGATAATATGTGAACTGTTGTTGTTTGAAAACAATATTACCATACTGATAATATTGTATAGACTTCCTCTTCTTCAGAGATCTCAGAAAAGGTTGTCTACAGACAATTAACTGTCTTTACATGTTTTCTGGCTTTTGAGCAAAACATAGCACTGAGCCGACTTAGGGTGACCAGTGAGCTCCTCTGTGCTTCTGATGTTGGGGAGTCTACAATATATCTATATATATATATATCATAATTTCTTAATTTGTCATCCAAGAGACATTGTAGGACTTGCAGACACTGCTCTCGAGTGGTTCATCTCCGACTTCTCAAACAGCCAGTTTACAGTAACTCTTGGTAATTTGAGCTCATCTACTGCCCCTCTGAACTGGGGAGTACCTCAAGGCTCTGTCCTAGATCCATTTCTATTTTGTATCTTTCTGCTTCCACCTGGAGGAACAATATGTAATCATAACACTTCTTTTCATTGCTATGCTGATGACATGTAACTCTATCAGTAAACCCAGGAACTACCAGCAGTCCTTAAAGAACTCTCTGACTGAAATCCTAAAATTCTTATCTTACTTTTAATTATCATGTTTAGTAGTCCATTAAGCACGTTTTTTTATTTTTTATTATTCCCTGACATGCTTTCATCTTTTGTAATTCTCTCTTTACCTGCCTGGGCAGCAAAGCCCACTCACACCT